CTTCGTTTCTGTTTTTTAAATATTTGGTGTATAATTTTTGCTTTTTTTTTTAATATTTTGTTTTAAATTCTATTTCTCGTATTGGAAAATGTTTGTTGTAATGTTCAAGAAAGATGCCGAGAAATAGATTATAAGCGGAATTTGTGTGTCCACAGTTACATTCTTGGTAAACATTTATCCAATTTATTGTTGATAAAGTTACTTTAAATTTAAACATAGAATGTTCATTCATTTTTCGTTTCAAGACTTTGATTTTAGAATTGTCATTTATGGTTGCATGTTGAAAAAAAGAAAATTGGAAAGTGATCCGAAATATCAGTTTTAATTATTCGTGTATTTATGGACTTATCTAAAAAAGAGTTAGTTAGAATATTATCTAAAGCACTAATGGAAGTTTTTGTTACACGAGTTGGTTTGTTAATGATTGGGAAAATGTCGTGTTGAAATATATTATCAAAAAAGATTTTAGTACTAGGGTTCATTGTATGTTCATTGTATTTTAAACTATCTATGTTAATGTCACCGATGCAAAATAATCTTTTTTGTTCATTATTGCTTTTGATAAAAATTTGATGCAGATAATTTGAAAATTGAATAACATCGCTGTCCGGTGGCCTATAACAAGTAGAAACTACAATATTTTTATTGTATTTTTAATTATTATCTCAATTGTTAGGACCTCATTGTCTGAATTAGAGATCGAGATATCTTTTCTAATTTTGATATCGTGGTCATTACGAATGTAAACTAAAATTCCACCTTCTCTTTTGAGCGTTTTTCTCTCAGATGAAATTATTTTATAATTAGGAATCTGAAAATTTGAATTTTTTTGAGTGGACTCATCATCACACCATGGTTCTGTGAGACAAGTCATATTAAATAAAAAATTGCATTCTAAAAGAAAGTGTTTTAGTTTGTCTATATTTAGATTTAAACTTCTGATATTGATGTGTATCACCATGAAATTATTTATATCTGTTTTTAATTGCGTTTTAAAAGTTTCAATATCAAAGTATTGCTAATTAAAATCTAATCCTTTTTAAAAATGTTTATCAACATCATAAAAGTCGTTAAGTAAAATGTTATCAAAATCGGTTTTAAAAAAATTTAATTGTTTCGTTTCAAAGTTTTAAAATTATTTCGGGGAGATTTTTTCCGGGGGGATTTTTTCCTAGAACCGAGCTTATCACAGAATATTACCGTTAATCCTATGCGTTTTGCTTTCTTCAAGAAGTTTCTAGCGAAAAAGCCTCATTAATATAATTACCAGAACCTTTTAGTTTGTTGGCGTTTTTTAAAATCTTTTCTTTGTCTTTATAACTTAGTAACTTAATTACAATTGTTATAGGCTTTTTAACGTCGATAATACCAGTTCTACCAGTTCTGTAGATTCCTTCTATGATTACATCTTTTAGATTGAGGTTATTTTCAAGAAGGTTTATTATTTTTACCGTATCATCCCAGTTTTTGTTATCATTTTCTTTGACTCCTTCGATTCGAAGATTATTTCTCCTTTGACGATCTATAGTTGTCTATATATATATTTTTTTCATTGTCCCCTATGGTTGCATTCGACCTTTTTTTTTTCCACATCACTGGCTTTTTTATTATTTATCTTTTTTTTTCCAAATCGCAGACTTTTTTATCATGGCAATCCTGATAGAACGTTAGACTTTCTTCAATGTCTTTTTGCATTTTTTCATACTTTATCATCTGCTTGTTTGTTTTTTTAATATCGGTATTTTGGTTTTGGTTTTTTTTAAAACTTCACAAGTATTCTTTAACGTATTTCTATAATGTATTTAAGTATTCTATAATGTATTTAATTTCTTTTAGCAATCCATCGGATTCGATCGTTAATCAGTTTTAAATTTGCACTTATTAACGCTAAAATATACTTTTGTTGTTTTTGGAAATTTCTTAAAATATTTCACGAACTAATTTTATTTAGACGTCAGTGTTAAGTTTTGAACTCATTATTGATAAGATTTGAAAAATAAATAAATGAAACTTGCAATATCAATTTCTGTTATTTTATTTCTAAAAAATATATCGATAAAATTGGTTTTGTTAATTATGAGATCTTTTAATTTTTTTTTAAGGATCGTAAGATTATCTAATTTAGTAAGTTCTATATGTTGAGATATTATTTTGTTGTATAAGAAGGGGCCACGGTATGCAATTGAAAATCTTGAAAATTTTGTTTTTTTAATGGGCAGGGTGAAATTTCCTGTTCCTCTTCTGCTATATCTGTTGGCGTAGGTTTGAAAAAAGTTATTAGTAAAGTGAGATGGGACAAGCCCGAGCATATATTTGAGCATAAATAAAATATTTTGGTAGATGTTAATTTGATAGACATTTAACGCATTCAAGTTTTCAAGTAAAGGATCGGCATGAGTGAATTTATTTTTATTATAAATCAATCTTGATGCGTGTTTCTGGTGTACATATAGAGAATTTAGTTTAGATTTATTTGTACTTCCCCAGGCAATATTAGCATATGTTAAATAACTTTGTATATAAGAAAAGTAGAGACTTTTAAGATTTTAGTAAAGGTAAGACTTTGTAGAGTATGCCGATACTTTTTGATATTTTTGTATTTATTGTATTTATATGGGCTTTCCAAGAAATCGTTTCGTCAATAATTATCCCAAGAAATTTAACGGTTTTAGTTCTTTCGATATTTATGTTATCAATTTTTAGTAATGGTAGCATTCTTGGTATATTATTTTTTTGATGGTTGGAATGAAACAAGATAAATTTTGATTTTTCTGTATTTAAAGATAATTTATTTACTTTAAACCAGGTGTTTAGATTCTCAAGGTCATCGTTCACAGATTCAAAAAGATTTTCAATTGATGCTGATGAATAAAACAAATTTGTGTCATCAGCAAACATTACTGCATCAAGTTTTTTTAGGGGTTGTGGAAGATCGTTAATATAAATTAAAAATAAAAGAGGGCCAAGAATGGAACCTGGGGAACTCCGCATTTAATTTCTAGTAAATTTGAATATTTATTATCGTTCGAAATAACGCATTGTTGTCTGTTGCATAAATAACTTTTAAACCAATCTAGGGTAGTATTTTTTATTCCGTATTTTTTCATTTTTTTAAGTAGGATATCATGATTAATTGTGTCAAATGCTTTGGATAGGTCTATAAATGTTCCTAATACAAATTGCTTTTTATTAAAAGAATCACTTATGCTATTAACTATATCTAAATTGCATGTTCTGTCGAGTGCTGTGATTGAAAACCGAATTGTTTTTTATCTAAGAGTTTGTTTTGAATTAGATATTCATATAGTCTATTGTAGATTATTCGTTCAAGTATTTTAGAAAAAATTGGAAGAATTGAAATTGGTCTGTAATTATTTATTTGAAATGTTTCACCGGTTTTAAAAATTATATAAGTGAAACGTTTGTTTATTTATTATTTTTAAGTTACAGCATTTTATAAGTGAAACGTTTGTTTATTTATTATTTTTAAGTACTAAAATGAAATAAGAAATAGAAAAACAGTTGATGAAAAATCGAAAAAATAATTGAAAACAAGTTTTTAAACAAATATCAGCTAAAAACTAATTTAAAATGCATCTCTACATATAAATTTAAAAATGCTATCAGATCATCGACAAGTTACTAATAATTTCTGAACATTGACAAGTTACTGATAATTTTTTACTTGTTGTTTAACTTTTTAACAATACATACAACAAGGTGTCTGTCAATATTTTAAGGTGGATTTCCCCCAAACTCAACTTCACAAAAACTGACCTAGATTCGTTTGGAAAAATGCTCTCCAACTACAAAAATATAATCAAAAACACAACTCACATTAAATGTATCAAGAGAAGTTTATAAAACAATCTGCCAAATAAACTTTTTTTATTACGTGTTCAATTATTTTAGCTGATAATTAACTTATTTAAGTTATGTAAATTTGACGAAGAACCATTTTCCCTGATTTCTTCCCTGATTTTCTAAAATTTAACCTAATTTTCCTGATAATCCCCTGATTTTTTTGCAGATATCTGAATTCCCTGATCTAGCAGACACTTTGTCACTCATGACAGTTACAGTTTTACAAAGCAACCTGTAAAAATTACTTGTATAAAAATATAGTATTTAATAACTTAATTAAAAAACTTACATCATTATTTTTTTTCCTATCATTTTAAATCTTTAGGTGCACATGCGTTTTTTCCTTAAAAAAAAATGCGTTTATATGCGTTTTTTCTTTAAAAAAAAAAAAGGGTGGGGAGCGGAAAAGAAACGGACAAGACTTGCCCGAACCCTGATACTGAGAAATTTTGACTTATTATCTGACTTTGAGTTGTCTTTTTTACTTTTTTATTTTGTTCGATAATAATAAAATATTAAAATCGTTTTCTCTCAAGGGATTTTTAGGAGTGGTTAATATGAGTAAACTGTATTTTTTTCAAACGCTAAGAACAAAATAAAAATTCTTTGAGGATATTTTGTTAAACAAAAAAGTGTAACATCAACTTAACACAAATGTTTAATAAATTACCAAAAACCAAAATATTTTTAAAATTTGTTATACAAAAAAACATAAAAAAAAAGTGTCGGCTGAACATATTCAATTGATTTTATTAACAACTTCATTCGACTTCTTTTGATAAAGCCTGCTATATCACCGAAAAAGTTAATTCCAATTCACCAACAATATGAATATTGAAGCCATAACATATGATTCAAAAACATTTAATATGATTTTTTAATTTTAACAAAATATAAAATAACAAAGAAATTTATACAGAAAACTTCTACCGAAATATCTTAAAAAGAAATAATAAGTTACGCTTAACACTTTCACTGGTTATATTTTATACTGAAAAAAAAGCAAATCTTTGAAAAATAGGAGAACCTTCACCATTTATTATTAGTTTTCAATTTTTTTTTAAACATGATTTCAAATTATTGAAATTTTAACTAGGCTCTAGAAGCTTCTACAATAAAGAAATCACGAAACTGTATAATATAAAAATAAATAAATCGATGAAACTTTACTACATTATCTACGTCATAAAAAACACGTAAGATCTTGATACGAGGGAGAAAGTAGGACTCCGATTCTTCAATAAAAAGTTTTTAGTTTTTTTTCTCAGTAACGACAATAACTAAAAAAAAAAGTTTTTTTTACAGTATCAAATAAATAAAAATAAATATAAAACAAACATTTGCGTTAGATGTAAACTTTAGATAAACAATACACATCGAATTTTAATTTGTCTAAAAATTTATATAAAATTTATTTGAAACGCAACAAACCTAAAAACATGTGAAAAAAACAATATAATAAAAGGCAAGGTTGTCTTTTAATAGAAGTTAAAATTAAATGCATAATTGAACATGTAATGTATGTATAATTATAACTCAAAAAGACTTACTGACAATAATTGCAATGATGACAAGAAGAACAACAATAAGTATGATCCACATCTAAGTAAAGATTATTTTTAATTTAACTTTTCAAATAATCACTTAAATAAAATTTAAAAATTTTGGATAAAAATTAAAACTTGGATAAAAATTAAAAAATTACCACTTGGATAAAAGTTAAAAATATTTAGATTAAAAAGACTTTCCATTTAAATCAAATATCTAGTAAATCTAGTATTAACTGATAGGATGTCTGATGATTTAAAATATTTTATTTTTCCCTAAAACATCTTATAAACAGGGAGAAGATTTTAAGCTGATTACCAGAACATTATAATAAAGATGATAACCAATCTACATATCAGTTTACAGACATTTATATCAGATAACAGAACCTACATCAGACATCTATATCAGATAACAGAACCTACGTATACAGTCAGAATCCTACTATAAAAAATATAATTAATTCTTCATAATATTTTCTCTTTGACTGTAGTTATTTCCTCAGCCTAGAAAATGTAAATACAATTTAAAGGAGTTAAAAAAAAAATTCCAAGTTGAATTATTAATAATCGCAAGAATGAAAATAAAAAACTCTTTAATAAAAAAAAATCACGGAATTTTTTATTTAAACCATTCGTATCTTGCATTTGTCTATTTGTATACGTCGCATATGTTTTGGTCAGCAGGTCCTGAGATTTTTGTAAAGTGGCAGTACTTTTAAAACTCAGACATTACACCACCTAAGAATTTACCTATAGCGTCTCAAGAACTGAAGTTGTTCAACACTTGGTGTACAAAATAAATCTCAGAAATGGCTGACCTCAGTCATAGCAACTTTGACCGCTTAGGGTATTAAAGAAAAGTAGAAAATAAAAAAAATCTTCATTAAACAAGAATTAACAACTTATAAAAATAAAAAATAAAAAATCATGGTTATATAATATTTTTCCTGAAATATCAAAAGTAAAAATGTCAATCTTGAACTCATAGCCCAATGAAATTCCTACTTTTTATAAAACTGATTATAACAATTTCTTCCATTAGTTAAATACAAATAAACTTTGCATTTCAAGCAGGATATTATATCAAATATCAACTTATGGTGTTGGTACTTGAATATTACGATTTCATGTTTTAGGTAAATCAGAATTAGTTATTTTCTTCTTTAATGGTCAGCCTATGGGTCTGTCAACTGGTTTACTTTTTATTATTAAAACATTAGCGATTTGGCTGCTAAATTGAAGAAAATTTAGCTGGCTATGCTTAGAAATATTTAACTGGTTAGCTTGTCTTCTATACAGCAACCAAGGATTTATCTTACATATTTCCATGGAATGGACAAATACGTGCAAGTACTATCTTTCTTTTCATTGGTATTCGATATAAGCTAATAAGCATGTCAGCCAAATCAACACCACCCATTCCAGAATTTTATTCTTTTACAATTTCTGGGTAAGGTACTTGAATATATTTCTTATTCTTTTGGTCCCATCGTTTCACATTACCAGATATATTAAGGTGAATAATACGTTGAGGTGATATAAAAATATTTTTTATCAAGCCATCTAAGAAGCAAAAACTTTATGAAATGGATCTTCAACACAGGGATTATTAAGTTCGAAATATAATTTCTATTTCAGTTTCTATTCAGTTCTTGTGGCAATGATTTAATTTCTAATTCTAATTTTACTTTCAAAATTAATCCTATTTCAGTTTTAAATCAGTTCTCTTAAATCAATTTCAGTTCAGTTCTTATGATTTCAACAATTCTACTTTATATTTTAGTCCCTTATTCAGCCAATACTTCACTTTTATCAAGTTTTTTTGGAAATTTTTAACAGGATATTAACTTATCAAACATCATTATCAAAGTTTCAAAACAACAATGTTAAAGGAATTTCTTAATATAAAATAATACAATATAAATAATCAAACAATAATTGTATGAAAATATATGCTTGAATCACATATTCTTGTTTAACTTTATAAAAAATCTAATGATGTTTTCATCATCTCATTCATTCCATTAACTCTTTAGTGTCTTGAAATACTTATATATTTTTTTGTAACTAAAGATTAAATGTATCATTGACAAAAGAGTTTGACTCTTACGACAATGATACATTTAATCTTTAGTTATACATTTATGGCAAACAGTCCAAAAAGCAAGTGACCAGATTGGTGTCCAGACATGTGCAACAACAATAATGTAAGTGAAAATTAATTGTTTTAAAAATTTTTTTTTGTTAAATTCTTCTTTTGAATTCAATGATCTTTTTTCAGTAATGATAAATAAATTAACTTCTATTTCGTTTCTGATGTTGATATTTAATTGTATTTCAGTTTTCAATCTTCAAAAAATTTTTTTTTAATTAATGAAATGGATTAATTTTACTTCTAATTTTACTTAACCATTTTTCATTTAAATTAATGAAATGGATTATTTTTACTTCTAATTTTACTTAACATTAACTTAAATACAACTGCCTCAACCCTGTTTTTTTAAATCTTTCTCGGAAAGTAGTGGGAGTTTTGCTATTCGATTTCAACAAATAGTTACAGTCGTCAAAATGCCTTGTTTTAGTTTCAAGCATAAAGAAAGAATGCTGCTTTTGGCCCCACAATATAAAAAAAAGTAATAAATTATTTCACTTGACCCAAATTGAACAAACATTTTAAAACCCCATTTATGAGGTTTTTTTGGATTATATTGACCAATTATTCTTTTGATGAGCATATAATGTCTGCTAAAACAAAACAAAGTTTTGTTTTAGCAGACATTATATGCTCATTATATGGCTCTGGCTTTATTTTGTGACAGTTATCTTGTACCATTTCTAATACTAGTCTGATTTTGAAAAGTTTATCACTCTTGCTTTCTGCTTTATCTTTTATGGAATTGTTAACTATATGAAGATATCTTCTTAGGGCTTTATATTTATTATTTGGCATTACATAAGCAATAGAATTAATTCTGATTCCATTCATCCAGTATGAAGGGTAATTTAGCAGCTATACAATACCCATTAACATTAGGGTGGGGCAAATCTGAAATTTTCTATAACAAGCTATTTCTGAGGTAAAATGTGACACTGAATTCAGATCTGGAAGTATTTTTGGCCTGCGACAACAATTTTGGATAGAAATTTGCTTTTTTTTTCCAAAATGGCTGCCAAAAATTAAAGAAATATTTTCCCGCAAATATATGCATGTAATATATGACTCAAAATGTTTTCTTGGGTGCTGGATCCAAATATTACAGAAACTTGTGTGTTAAAGTGATTTAGGTCAGAAACATGTGTTTCCTGTCCAAAAGTATGGCAGAAATAAAAAATGTTTAAAATTTAGTAAATAGTCGCGAAAGTAGACATGCAGCTTTGTGTGCATGCACTTGACTTATAAGGCAACTATATGACCAGCAGCACGTTTAGTCTGGTACAAATAACCTACCTATGTGACCAAATGAAGTGCCTAACTGACTAGCAGCACTTTAATTTTCCAAAAAAGGCAATTGTTTTGGCGCTGATTTTACATTTGAGGTCTTGACGCTTACCAATCCACCATGCAAAGAACACAGATACTTCAGTCAAACTAGAAGTGATACTGTAACTTGCAGGGGTAAGTATCGAGAAGATACGCAGGGATAGCGTATCGAGAAGATATATTTTTCGGTAAATCCAAATTTAATAGGACAGATTATACAGCTGTGTTTAGTGAGACCTGGTTTTAAAGTTTTCTCATACAATGATGCAAGCAAAATAGTGGCTAAGGAACTATCCAATGATTGGATATCGAAGAACATCTATCTGTTGTGTCAACAAAACAAAAAGACAAAAGATTACTAAACTTTACAAAAAAAAAAATGAGTCAATAAATACAGAAAGCTCAAGATTTTACAAGTGTATGACAAGCAGAGCCTATGACATCAGATTAAATTGTGGCATACCAACAGAAATTGAAAGAGTTGTTCTGCATTAAAATGATAGATGAAGATGAGGCATTCCATAAAGATAATTGCCATGGTCCTTACTTGACAATTTGTACATTGATATTTTTATGGAAATGGAAAAAACAAGTGAAGAGAAACAAGGAAAGACATTAATCAAATAAGAAAAAGCAAAAGACTATGGAGGAAACCAGTAAGCAGGAAAAAGTATGCAGTCTGAATTATATGGATGCCCTAAACACGGATGATGTTTAAGGAACCAACTGGGAAGACCAAGATCAAGACTTCATTTCCGTGCTTCCTATCATGCCAGAAACACTGTCCTCAAGTTCAAGAAATGACCTTACTAGCCCAAGAGACATGTTCCCAAAGATTTCGATAAAAACTAGACGATTGCAATCAGTGGTCCAGACAGAGAGCAAAGAATATTGACCACAGGCTATAATGAGAATACTTCTAATTTAAGATTTGAGGGTGCAGTAACCTATGAATTCAAGTTAAGTGTCTTGCGGTGTTGGCAGACTCTATCATGGAAGAAGTTTGTTCTGTTTTTAAAAAAAATAGAAAAAACCTCTTCCACAGTGGAATCCTATAGATTTTTGGTCAGATTGTTCTGAAGATTGTAGCATATTGCTAAACAACCTAGGTGTTAAGGACAAAAACATTTTAAAATGTAGTGCGTATTTAATACTAGGCATTGATCTAGTTATAGATAAGGTATTTTGCAACACCGAACAGAGAATAGGAATTCAGAAACTGCTGGACATATCAGCTGGACTAAAAGAATTCATGCCTCCATCAATTTCAATAAACACTCTGGGACAATTTGCCATAGCCAAGTTACTTTTGCCAAGTAAGCCTATAATAAAGGCAATTCTGTAATTCTTCCTCTCTTGCATGGTTCAGATTTTGTTACCTCATCTAAAGACATAGCTGAATTGTTTGCTAAAAACATTTTATTAATCTCATCTTTTGATTCCACTTATCACATTATACCTGTTATAACCGACAAACAGGTTGATCTATTGTTTGACATTCATATCACTCCAGCTTCTATATCTATAATGATTTCTTGCTTAGACTTTTTTACAGCTTGTGGTTTGGTCAA